AGGGGGGCGGGGGGGGGGGGGGGATTGGATTGGACACACAAGCTCAAACACTCTACAAATAGGCACACTATCCTTCAGATCTGAATGTATTTTACACAGACAGAAAGGTCTGTTCAGGCCTGGAAAGCAGAATTCTTTATTACCATTATGCAGCAAGAGCCCCAGAGACTCGCTCTCCAGAGCTTAGGGTTTCCTTTTACCCCTCTGCTCCTTTAACTGGAGATTGCTTAGAGTTATACAATCACTTTGTTGTAAGTCACTTTGGTGAGTTGGTTTGTGAGCGTACCAGACGGAGTTTCTGCCAAGAACATAAATGCAAATGCTTACATGAGGTGTTTGATTTCAGAGCTGTCAGTTTAGCACATGTCGCTCCTGCTGCTGGTGATTCTTGTGACATGCGTAGGGCCCTATGAAATCCACTTTATTTTTTCCTAGATACTGTGGGGATTTTCACCATTTTAATTTGCCGTTTTTGTTTTAATGGAGTCCATTTTAATAATTAGATTAAGTGTTAATAATAAAAAAGCATGTTTAAATAAATAATCATGAAACTTTTATAAAACAACAAATTATTTTTAGGGCCCATGAAATCTGTTTTAATTTTTCCCAAATTCTGGTGTATTTTTCCCTAATTCTACATGTTCCGTTTTCATTTTTATTGATTCCATTTTAATGGTTTAATTCTGTTTTAATAATCAAAAAGCATGGCTAATTAATTTAATTAATAAAACTTTAAAAATTTAATAATTTGTTATATTTTTTACAATACTGGGGCCCTATGAAATGTTTTCTATTTACTTCTTTTTTTATTTGAAAATGTGTTTTCTGTTTTAATTCATCTGTATTTGTCTGTATTGGCAAACAAAGTGCTGCATAACATAGGTGTAATTAATTAAAACATGGAAGAAAAATTTGTGATATTTTGTGAAACCTTACAAAATAAAAATTTTTATAATTTTATTATCATTATTGTTATTTTGAGAAGTGCATTCTACTTATAATAGAACTTACAATAGAAATATTTTTGGTCACAATTTCTTCAAGTTAAACCAAACTTATATTTTGTTTGTTGTAGTTAAGACCTTTCTGTTCAAGATTCTGTGTGTATCTGATGATACTTTTTAATCAAATGAAATGGTGAAATGCTGTTTAAGTGACCTTTAGAGCAGCTCTGGAGATGAAGTTCATGTGTTCATATCCTCATGTAATGGGACTGCAGATACTGAAAACAGCATGACCGTCATGCATGCTGGTGTATAGTAGACGAAACTGCACCGTGCATTCACACAGAGACAAGCAGAACATGTTCATATTTAAATAGCAGTCTTTTTGCATTTTAATATTCACATACACTAGTCCATATAATGATTTGATTAAATGTGCAGCCCTATTTTTTCTTCTTTTTTTTTTTCATCCAAAATTTGCCAAATTCCAAGTTATACCACTTTTTGACTGGATTCCGTGATTCTATTCATGTTTTCAGCATTATGAAAATCATAGGCCCCTACGTGTGTGTGTGTGTGTGTGTGTGTGTGTGTGTGTGTGTGTGTGTGTGTGTGCGCGTGCGTGCGTGTGTGTGTGTTTGCATGCATTCTATGCATGCTCATGTCACATATTAGTGAATATTTGCTGCAGTATTTTGTTTCAGCAGTGTTATGTAAGTGAATGTGCAGTGTGGTCCCACTCTGAGCTCTTTCCCCTCCTGTCATATCTGTTTTAATATTGTTTGATATAAAAAAGCTGAAAGCTGTCCCTTCTGATTCTACCACCATAAATCCCCTATCATGCCCTTCTGACCCTGCCAAACCCCAGGAAATACACACACACTCATAGAATAATTCTGCAAAGCCACACTCACTAGTCATTGTCACAAGGTTTGTTTCGCAAGGTTTGGCTGCTCTGGCAGTATATGAATACTTACAAATAAATAATATTCTAGCTTCATGATTTAGAGTTTGAGTGCATCAAATATCATACAAGTTACATGAGTGTAAAAATGTATGTATGTATGTTAAGGTATGCTGCCATTCAAAAATGTGAAAGAAATTTATCAAAGATGACTTAAATTGATCAAAAGTGACAGTAAAGTTATTTATAATATTAGATTTCTATTGCTGTTCTTTAGAAATAATCCTGATATTAAAAAAGTATCACAGTTTTCGCGGAAATAATAAGCAGCACAGTTGTTTTCAACATTGATAATAATCAGAAAGGTTTCTTAAACAGCAAATCAGCATATTAGAATGATTTCTGAAGGATCATGTGACACTGAAGACTGAAGTAATGATGCTGAAAATACAGCTTTGCATCACATGAATAAATTACATATTAAAACATTTTAGAATATTAAATTTATTTTTTATTGTAATATTTTTTCGCAATATTACTTTTTTGTTGTTGTTGAGCATAAGAGACTACTTTTAAAAAACATAAAATAAAATATGAAGACACGATAATAAAATTTATTAAAAAAATAATGACTGTTACCAAACAGGTTTCTGAGACAGTGTTAACATGCAATGTATGGGCATTGTATGTAATATTGTATGTAATAATTTATTATGAAAATATTGGCAACACTTTACAATAAGGTCTTATTTGTTAGCATTAGTCAATGCATTTTCCTTTAACAATAAGCAATGTATTTTTTAATACTCTCTGTCAGTGTTAGTTAATCAAATACAGTTGTTCATCGTTTTTTCATGTTAGTTTACAGTTCATTAAGTAATGTTAACAGATACAACTTTTGATTTTAAAAAATTTATTATTAAATTATAAAATTAATGTAAATACAGAATTTAATGTTAATGTTAACAAATGAAACCTTGTTGTTAAGTATTGCCAAAATATTTAACCAACGAACAAAAAATTACACAATAATGGTACAATATAATTACAGAATTCATGTTTTTATGCAGGGCCTTCACTTAAAGTCAAGGGGCCTGGGACAAAATTATTATCCCCCCATTCCCTTAAGATTAATGAGTCAGCTATACGACTGTAAACCCCCCTCAACCACACAATGTCTTAAAGTACTCAATGTTTCTTTTCTAATAAATACATTTTTCTTGCACGAGTGACTGGAGGACTTAGTGGGGGCCTCTTGTCTCTGTCACTCACTGTCCCCTCTGTATTGATCTTTATTTACTCTATTTCCAGACTATGCTGACTGCTATCTCAATGAGTGCTATTGCCACCAATGGGGTTGTGCCAGGTGAGCAGAATTCGGCGTGTTTGTGTTTGTGTGCAGACGCCCAGACGACAGCTGTCCTGTTGTTCTTCATGGGCAGTTACACAGTGCACAGTACAGCTCCCTACTGTGCTGAGATCAGCTCCGCATTCATAACTGTGTGAATGCATGTCTGTCTCTAGGTTTATTTGGAATAACTGTAACCTGTAGATGTGCCTCTTGTGTCAAAAGGACATTTCAAGAAAAGAAAAATATGATGAAGGCATGAAATGCTCTACTATGTATATGCCTAATGGTAAATTTGTTTGTGCACTTACAGCTGGAGGTTCATACTACATGATCTCTCGTTCACTGGGGCCAGAGTTTGGAGGGGCCGTTGGTATATGTTTCTATCTGGGCACCACTTTTGCAGGAGCCATGTACATCCTGGGCTGCATCGAAATCCTGCATTAGCTGACAAGTCTTTCAGGCAATGATGCAAACTATAAATTACATTATTTAGCTTCAGTGTTATTTTAGTATCATTGAAATTTTAGTTTTTTCTATTAAAGTTTTCATTAGTATTTTAGTTTTTTCTTATAGTTTTTATATACATTTGAATGTTTTTATTTTTGCATTTTCCTTTTTCATAAGTTTGAGTAGTTTAGTTGTGTTTTTGCCATTTTTATCTATTAATTTTGTATTTGTTTATATAATTTGATACATTTTTTATGTCAGTTTTAGTTAGTTTAGTACATCAAGTTCAACTAAACAAAAACGATAAATGTTACCTTTGTAACTAGATTTTTTTTTTAGTTTTTTATATTTTATTTCCGTTAATGATTTTTTTTTCCAAGTAACAATATTTTTGAGTTTCAGTTAACTATGATAACCATATTTCACATGTTTTTTCTTACATTTTTTACAACAAAATAATGTGTGTTTGCTAAATACTTTAATTTTAAATAACAAGTAACTTTTAATGTATACTCTGAATAAGTATTATTTACAGTTTTGATATCTGTACAGTACTTGTACATTAATTTTGCACAACTTTAAAGGGATAGTTCACCCAAAATGAAAATTCCATCTTCTTTAACTCACCTTTAACTCCTTTGTCATTCCAAACCCGAGTTTCTTTATTCTGTTGAACACAAAAGAAGATGTTTTGAAGTTGCTGGTAGCCATTGACTTCCATAGTATCTTTGGGAACCAAAAACTATTTAGTTACCAACATTCTTCAAAATATCTCCTTTTGTGTTCAGCAGAATAAGAAATTCAGCCAGGTTTAGAACAAATTAAGGGCTTGTAAATGATAAAGTTTTCATTTTCGGGTGAACTACCCCTTTAACCACTGGGAACTTCTTCACTATTTTATTTTATTCCTTTCTCTTGTTTTTTTTTTCTAGATCTACATCGTGCCAGCAGCTGCCATATTCAAGATGGAGGGTCTGGAGGGAGCAGAGGCTGAGGCAGCACTGTTGAATAACATGCGTGTGTTCGGTACCATCGTGCTCTCCTTCATGGCTTTAGTCGTCTTTGTCGGCGTGAAGTATGTCAACAAGTTGGCCCTTGTGTTCCTCGCCTGCGTCATTCTCTCCATTCTCGCTGTCTACGCTGGCGTCATCAAGACTTCTTTTGACCCACCTGACTTTCCGTAAGTAGAATTTTGTGTCCGGAATGTTTCTTTAGGGTACAGAATACATTTCAGGAGTGACTATAATCATACAGCCCTTATCCTGCGTAGGGTGTGTGTGCTTGGGAACCGAACTCTTGTGTCAAAGGGATTTGACATTTGTGCCAAGACCATTGAGAGAGGCAATGCCACAGTCACCACCAAGCTTTGGAGAGCCTTCTGTGACTCGGAGTTCCTGAACGCCACCTGCGATGAATACTTCACCAACAACAACATCAGTCAGATCCAGGGAATCCCTGGAATCACCAGTGGCATCCTGGCAGGTTAGAAAACCCCAACACTCACATTGATATTTTAATATTCATCACCATATTTTACGGTTTCAATAATACTTTAATAGCTTACTTTTTAAAATAAATACTGTTCTTTTGAAATTTCTGTTCAATAAGGAATCCTAAAATAAATATTTCCTCAAAAATATGAAGCAGCTCAACACTGATGATAATAAGAAATGTTTCTTGAGCAGCAAATCAGCATTTTAGAATGATTTCTGAAGGATCATGTGACACTGAAGACTGGAGTAATGATGCTGAAAAATTGCAGCTTTGCATCACAGGAATAAATTACATTTAAAATAAAATGACTAAATCTTGGTGAAAATAATAGGATTATTTAAATGTAATGTTCAAAATGAATGTACTCGTTGTGTATTTTATGGAATTCTGTTTTAAAATTGCATGGAAAAAATTGAGTCTTTTTTTGTTTGTTTGTTTGTTTGTTCTTTACAGAAAACCTCTTCAGTACCTTTATGGAGAAAAATTCAATGTTAGAGAAGCGAGGTATACCAGCAGTACTCGACCCTGAGGCCCCAGAAACCAACACTAACCGATACGTCCTGGCTGATATCACCAGCTTCTTCACCCTGCTGGTTGGCATCTACTTCCCCTCTGTCACAGGTCAGTACAACAGTTCGATCATTAGTAGGGGAATTATTCACATAAATGTCTAGTTTTGGTCTGTATAATGTGTATTATGGCCTTTTTTTAAATGTAAGGTAACATTAATTTTAATCTTACTTATGCATTTGTCTTTTTTATGTTCAGTAAAAACAGTAAAAGATCATTTTTTGTTCTCATAATATTTGTTCTCATAATATCCCTTCAATCCAGGCAGAAGCTGACCCACAAACACCAGTGTTTCTAGATATAATATGTACAGTATGTGTGTGTCACAGGTATCATGGCTGGTTCGAACCGTTCTGGTGACCTGCAGGATGCTCAGAAGTCCATCCCAATTGGAACCATCATGGCCATCACAACCACCTCCATCATCTGTATCCTTTACTCCGAAGGCAATAAACTGCTCCAGCTTTGCATAAATAAATGAGCCGTGACTTTCACACAATGCAGAACTGCACATCTTGGAATGTACAGAATACAGTGTAATTGGATATCCAGGAAACGACAGTGATAAAATCATAAGACTTGATGTTTCCATCTGTGGGAAAAATAGCTGAAATAGGGTGAATGCCTTTTTGCTGCTTTGTGTCATTCTCCTAAATTTTTGCTCTCTCAGACATGTCTAGTGTGATTCTGTTTGGAGCCTGTGTGGACGGAGTCGTTTTGAGGGACAAGTGAGTCTGTAACTCTATTTTGGATTCACTTTGGATTCAGTATAGCCTCCAAATGAATTGAGAATTAAGTGAGCACTTTTCAGCTCAGCTGAATAATTAACAAAAAAAAATGTGTGTGTGTGGTCTGGGGAAACCCTACGTTATGGGGCAAAATGCCCCAACAAAGATGGCAATATCCAAAATCCTTGTCCTTGTGGGGACATTTTTTGGTCCCCATGAGGAAACAAGCTTATAAATCATACAGAATGAAGATTTTTGAAAAGCTAAAAAGTTTTCTGTGAGGGGTAGGTTTAGGTGTAGGGTTGGTGTAGGACGATAGAAAATACAGTTTCTACAGTATAAAAACCATTACGCCAATGAAATGTCCCCATAAAGCATGGAAACCCAACTGTGTTTGTCTGTATTTATATACTAATATGGCATTTATTGATATTTTGAATTACCTTTCATTTTAATTTTTTCAGTTTTCACTTTCATTTTAATTCATTTTATTTTTTTATATGCTTTTGTAATTTATTGTTTTTTGTTTAAATATTTATATTTAGCTTTTATTTCAGTTTTATATACTTTTTAATGTTTAAACTTAAACTTTATTTTATTTCAGTTAATTGCCAAGGCAACATTTCTGATTTCCATTTAAGGTTTCATTTAAGGTTTTTATTTTATTTTATTTCAGCCTCATTTCAATTTAACAAAAATGCCTTTAATACTATTAGTTAACAATAATAACACAGTTCTAAACACAAAGATCTCAGTTTTCATTTTAATTTTAGTTTACTTTCAGTGATTTTGTTATGTGCTTTTGTCATTTTTTTTAATTAGTTTTTGTTCAAATATTTCTATTTAGCTTTAATTTATTTTTATTTCCATTTTAGTTTTAGTATTTTTAATATTTAAACTTAAACAAACTTTATTTTATTTCAGCTAATTGCCAAGGGAACATTTCTAATTTTCTTTTCATTTTCTAACATTTCTTACATTTTCATCTAATATTTATATATTTATATTATTTCAGATTTTTCAATTAATGAAAATGATTTTTAATACTATTAGTTAACAATAATAACACTCTTCTAAACATATAGATTTCAATTTATTTTAATTTATTTAGTTTAGTAATTTTATGTTTGTCATTTTTATTACGTTGTTCAAATATTTCTATGTATCTTTATTTTCTGATTGTTTTATTTCAGTTTTAGTTTTAGTAATTTTAGTATTTAAACTTACATTTTTGTCATATTTCTAATTGTCTTTTAAGTTTAAATTTATATATATATTTATATATATTATTTTGTTATTTCAGCTTTCAGTTAGGAAAAAATAATTTTTGATAGTATTGCAATATAAACAATAACAACACTGTTTTAAACACACAGATTTGGGGAAGGTGTCAACGGTAACTTGGTTATTGGCACCCTGGCATGGCCCTCGCCCTGGGTCATTGTGTTCGGCTCTTTCTTCTCCACCTGTGGGGCAGGGCTTCAGAGTTTGACAGGAGCGCCCCGTCTCCTTCAGGCTATCGCCCGAGACGGCATCATTCCTTTCCTCAGGGTACGTCTCTACATCTGTTGATGCTTCGATACTTGATCATACTAAGTGATCATGCTAACCTGATCATATTCTGTATTTGACAGGCGTTTGGTCATGGCAAAGCTAATGGTGAACCTACATGGGCTCTCCTCCTGACGGCCTGCATCTGTGAGATTGGCATCCTCATCGCCTCGCTGGATGCAGTCGCTCCCATTCTGTCCATGTAAGTAACACTCCCAAAAAAATACACAGCGCACCTTATTCTTTATGACTCCCAGAGAAACAACAGCAATAAACTGTCTCTATTGCTGTAATATATAAAACTATAAAACTTCTTAACTATGCTGAATAGCCTCTTTTCTAAAAGCCTGTTCTTCAATAATTCCTAAACTTATTTACAGGTATATAACACAATAAAATACCATTAATTCAGCACTTTGTATTTGCTAACACTACATCCCCCCTTATAACCTTTGCAGATATGCATTACAAATGTACAGCTGATAAAAGTGTGGACTTTGTCATGCTTTGGGGTTTTTTCTCCCCACTTTAAAACACAGTGGGCTTCATTTGTCTTTTTTTGCTTCTGACTGGTCTTTGATTTCAAACAGATCTGGACAAAGTGGTCTAATATAATTAAAATATATTACATAAATAACATAAAATCCAGAATAATTGAATGCATAAATGTTCAGCACCTTTAATATGAAACACATAAACTATCACTAATGCAGCCCATTGGTTTTTAAAGCCTAGGTAGTTAAATGGAGATCACTTGTGTGAAGTCAAGAGGCTTCAATTAAGAGGTCAACATCTGGCATGAGCCAGTTAGTCCCC